AAAACACTAGCCCTGACCTAACTTTCACTAGCCCAGACCCAGACCATTGTTATGGAAACTTTATTTAGATAAGAGTGTGCTTTAAATCGCGCGTGGGCCAAGTTCACGTGCAGCAATCGTATTCTACACGGGCATACACGAGCACACGGTTTATCGATCGTCTACTGCGGCTCCAGCAAGCCACGTTATTGTTTTTGCCGAAGGGTAACTGGTATCCGGCCTCACGCTCTGCTAGACAATGTACACGCTCTGCCGACAAACAGTGCGGCGCGAGCCAGAGGTGACCTTTTCAGTGCAATATATATGAACAATTCTAACATGACCAGTCGCTACTAGCACTCTGGTTGTATGCGACCGGACAAGCATTTACCGACTAGTCGGTCGGACATGGGTTAGTGTCTAACCCTGGTTAAACATGGATTTGTTTACTGTTAGAAAGAATTTGACTGCCGGGTTTGCTAGTAGAATCTATACATGCCTGGATGTATGAGGCTACAATGTACAGTGAAATTTCAAAAGCTAATTTGGTTGAAGAAGTTTATGCTCCTTAAATCGTATAATTTCTATGGCATTCTGTACTGTCAGTGTGTTACATGTAACTTATGCCACTGCCAGTGGCCACTGCCAGTGCATTAGTGGTGATAGTACTGGTGTAGTTTTTGCCTGCGTTAATTAGTTACAGGTGGCAGCTCTCTATTTCAGCCTGTAGGCTTGCGTAGGTAAATGGATGAGTGCTTACCAATTCTGTCTTGCAAATAGTTGTTGCTACTACGTACGATGGGAGCTTCCATCTTTAATCTTGGCCACTTTCATAACGATCCCAACAAACATTCCTTTGAGAAGGTTCCTGGTACCATCCCTGTGCCTTCCACTGTTTCGGCACGTATGTGAACACATTTGGGACTAACAGGGTTTACTAGAATCCCACCACTCCACCACAGAGTCACCGCAGTAGACGTTAGATGAGCGCTGTCGCTCCGCGGCACTTGTTACATCTTTTTCAAAACTGAGTTTTCCACTTTCTCCTCCCGTTCCGCGATTTCCGTGGAAAACTTCGGGGACTAGGGAAGCTTACGAGCCAATATCTCAGCCTAGGAGTATCGTATTGACAAGCGGTTGGTCTTGTTTTAGAGAGCAAAGAATTCTGCTTTATGCAATACCATAAAATTATTCTAGACTTGCAGGCAAAGTAGAATAATGTTGTCAGTAAATAGCACTATTTTCCCGTTTTTCCGTTGTACACTCTAGGAATTATTAGCTCTTGATAAAACGTAAATTCCTAAACTACATATCTGACCGTAGTCAATGCAGATTTTGTACATATACAATAGCAAGATCAGGCATTAGATGGACGGAAAAAACACTGCATTTTATACACACAAAACGTATAGGAAATTACTGTAGTAACATTGAAACTACTTATTAGCGAGTAGTGCACATTACGATTGGACATCATGTCAACGAAAAAACTACACGTTACGTGTACCTCACGAATGCTTGACCTGATACTGATGACAAATTCTAGTGTTTACCAGCAACCATGCGGACTAACTTCACTATTACATGCAGTTCTCCCTACGTTGCGCAAACCGGGCGCGCCCGCCCCGTTTGGGAAAACTCCCCCACGTTTCAATCGTTGCCCGTTTAAATTACCTCCGCCCCGAATAAATTCCACCATAATAAAAATTTGACAGCGCGGGAATCGATCTCAAGAATTCCCATTCGACCAGGCCCGCGGACGCGTGTATTTTTACGGTACCACTAATGAGTAAACGTCCTATAATACGCATGCACCTCAGACCACACAATTACAAACAGTCACCCTGTCCCAAACCTTAACACAAACTGTACCGACTCGGCTGTCTTATACACAAGTACCCCAAATACCGTCTGGTGTGGTGGCGATTTTACGCATTACGCTTAAAAAACTCTCCCCCGGACCCCCTCCCCCTCTCCCTCCCCTCCCCTCCCCTCCCTCCTCCCCCTGTTTCAATTTCATCCTGGAGAACCCTGACATGCACTGGTAATACAACACGCTGTGCACGTTGTTACAGGACCGTGTGTGTCAGAAGAATGCAGTGGTCACGATGTGTTGGTCTTGTTCTAGAAGTCATTGTCACTCTCCTCCAGTTCTTCTGGCAGAATCTGATGCGGCTGTCTCTGTGCCCCTAGAACTTCACCTTCAATGTCCAACTCTTCCTCACTGTCTTCTTCATCCTCCAGATCAAGGTCAGATGCAGATCCAAGAGACTAATATCAAGCAAACGTTCATGAACTTAGTAGTCAGAACAAAGACAACAACGACACTTTCAAATACTTGCTAATAGGCAATTGTAAGTTATAGTATATAAAGTATATGAAACTAAAATTGATATATAAATCCTATCCACTAATTTTTGTATTAGACCACTTGCCTGTTCGTCGTCACTCATGGCACCTGCCATCGTACCAAATATTCTTTGATTCTCGCCTGCAAAAGACAAGTGCAAAGCCTGCAAATTAATGCTACAAGATAGTGACATTAAATTGCCATGTTTTCACATATTTGCAAAAAAAAACACGTATTTACCTGTAATTAGACATTTGTTTATCCCCACTGCAACAAGATGGGACAAAGAGCACTCCTACCCATTTGTATTATTAGCCCCATAAGTCTCGGAGCTTTTTCAGACACTGTTTATAACAGAATAAAACAATAACATCTTGCAAGCAACACTAGTGTCAGTGAATGCATACGTCCTTACTCATGTAATTTCATTTGTTAATAGCATTTGAATAGACAGCAGTGCTCGAAATAAGCGTTGTCCGGTTGTCCGAGACAACCAGAATTTGCGCCGGACAACCTAACCAGTCTGAGACATTGACCGGTGGACAACCAAGAAAAAAGTTGACGAAAAAATGCACTTTATTTATATTTTTCTGACTGCTGATTGAATTTCTTTCGACTGTCGATCAGCCTGCATTGCGTCCATAGCTAGTCCTAACCCAACCCTAACACTAACTCTAAACCGACTCGGCTATCTTATATATGCGTGTTATAGTACCAATCTATGGTGTATAACCTTTTGCTTTCAATATTTTGCATCTGAACTGACAATCAATCCCAACCAACTGGTGTAGGCTAGCTGGCACAATAATGTTTTTCATACTTCAAATCCGAGTGTTTTCTAGCTCATCAAGAAATCTTAATCGTGAATAATATAAAAATATGGGACAAGCTGCTATTTCCAACACTGGTATATGTCAGGTTTTCTGATTTATGAGAGGTGAACTCGATTTGGACCAGCAAACCAGCAAGTTTCCAAATTTTCTGGGGAGGACCCCCATACCCCACCTGTTTTTTACCCCCTCCTTGGAATCCTAGACCCGCCACTGAACAATTACACATCTTGGGAGCAGAGAACAATGAACAAAAATGTCGCCTTTTCGCATGGCGTCCAAAACAAAGATTGGAGAGCTGAGAGGTAGAGGAGCCATAGGCAGACCTGCCAACTGTTACGTATTGCCCGTAGTTTGTTACGGACGCGAGTCAAAATTACGGTGTTACGGACGACCTCGAAAAATTACGGACAGCAAGAAATCTCTGAAATTTATATTTTTTAAAGGAACAGTAGCCTCTAGGTTCTAGGGTTATTTTCAGCTAATTTAGGTTATAATTGCGCTACATAAAAAGTTTCATGGTTCAATCACATTAGAAATATTTTTAAAAAATGTTTAAAACTAACGACTACAGTTTGATTACAACGACGGTGCGCCACTCAAAAGCGCACATCTGAGAAGTTGCGCAAAACCATTTTCCAGCCAAGGGCTACAGACGAGGTATTTTCTTATTTATTCATTTAAAAGCAAAAGAATTGTAATATCTTATAAACGACATATAGTTTCAGTTATAATATGGAAAATTTGCCCAAAATGAATATCAGTTGGTTAAATAGCATTTAGGTATAAATATAATTGCACTTTTGTGATTAGCCCTCGTCATTTACCTGCAAAATAAAAATGCAAATACGCAACTTTTCAGGGTGGCAGCACGGTCGCGGGTGTCATGGCGCGCTGTTCAAATTTCGTAGCGTTGATGGTGAAATAATTAATTAAGTATCTGGTGACAAATACATGTGGTATAGACGATTTGTTTATACAGTAAGTACAGTTGTATGCAGTAAAATCCTAGAGGCTACTGTCCCTTTAATGCAAAAAAAAGAAATAAACACAGTGTAAAATCAACTTATGTATTATCATGTAACATGACTACTGTGTCTGTAGATTTAGACTAATAGCTCTTAAAACGTAACGGTACTCACTGAAAATGGTAAATTATGCGCTCGTCTGTCTGGTTTATGGGCGCAGCCATTTTGAATGACGTCACGGATCCAGGACTATCAGTGTGTGTGTGTGTGTGTGTGTGTGGCCGCGCACGCTTGTGTGTATGTGTGGAACTGCCAAATGACATCTTTATGCTAATTATGTTATTATTATACTGTAATATAAGACTGACAAAAAGTGTTACTGACAAATGCCTATTTGTTACGGAAAAATCCAATAATTATTACTGATGATCATCAGATGGGGTTGGCAGGTCTGCATAGGGTGTGGAGAGGGAGGCGGAGGAGCCAGTAAAATATTAAGTCATCCACTACTTTGCGCAGTTTGCTGTTTTTGGCCCCCCTTGTTAAAAAATTCTGCTATGCCACTGTTTTTGGGTTTTCTGATCATATTTATTATATGATTGAAAATAAGAGATTTGGGATATTTTTGGACAACCACAAATGTTTACAGACAACCCGATTTGATGCCTGGGTTGTCCGCAGGACAAGCACGTTTTTTTCTTATTCGAGCACTGGACAATGTGCCACCTTTTGGCTGTATGGCTTTAGAAGCTTTTAACAATTACCAACATTGCACACATACAGACTACACTTTTATGTGAACCCCTTCCCACCATAAGTGTACAATGTAACATGTTTATTTTTTTCTATTTGGGAGGAAACGATATGAATACACGTTTTTAGCTCATCTGACGTAGTCAGATGCAGCTTGTAGAATCGCATGATCGTCCGTGCGTCCGTGCGTCCGTGCGTCCGTCAACAGTTGGGCACAAATCTTAACCGCTCGACGTACGGTCATGATATTCGGGACGTAGGGGGGTAATCCGAAAACGAGTTGGGATGTCGAAGCTGGGGGTCAAAGTTCAAAGGTCAAGAGGTGTAAGAGGGGGGAACATTCCCTCCTTAACTTAAGGTATAGGGAGGAAATGCAGAATTGCGGCACAAATCTAAACGGCTCGACCTAGGCTCGTGATAGTTGGTGTATTGCATCATGGTAGGAAAAGCCATCACTGCTGCCGAAATTTTGAGGTCACAGGTCAAAGGTCAATGGGGGCACAGGGCAGATATTAGACATTTTCTGAGGACATGGTCTGACGGAGCGATTGAAAAACTTTTTTGCTTCAGCGGTGACCTAGCATTTTTATGGCTTATTGAAAGGACCATGAAATGTACTTTCTGCTGACATGCGAAGAGTAAGTGTCGGATAACCTTTTGACCCTCAAGAGGAGGGTTAAACATGATTTGTTTACTGTCTGTTAGAAAGAATTTGACTGCCGGTTTGCTAGTAGAATCTATACATGCCTGGATGTATGAGGCTACAATGTCACAGTGAAATTTCAAAGCTAAATTTGGTTGAAGAAGGTTTATGCTCCTTAAATCGTATAAGTTCTATGGCATTCTGTACTGTCAGTGGTTACATGTAACTTATGCCACTGCCAGTGGCCACTGCCAGTGCATGTAGTGGCGATAGTACTGTGTAGTTTTTGCCTGCGTTAATTAGTTACAGGTGGCAGCTCTCTATTAGCCTGTAGGCTTGCGTAGGTAAATGGATGAATGCTTACCTATTCTGTCTTGCAAATAGTTGTTGCTACTACGTACAATGGGAGCTTCCATCTTTAATCTTAAGACACTTAAACATACACGCCATCTCGTGGCAACTTTCATAACGATCCAGCGAACATTCCTTGAGAAGTTCCTGATACCATCCTGCTGCCTTCCACTGTTTCGGCGCGTATGTGAATACATTTGGACTAACAGGGTTTACTAGAATCCCACCACTCCACCAACACAGAGTCACCGCAGTAGACGCTTAGATGAGCGCTGTCGCTCCGCGGCACTTGTTCTAAATTTGTACGATGACCACTGAGCAAATCTTCAAACATATAAGTTGTACGCTTGAGTGATAACATTAATAATTATGAACAGCTCCTCATTTTAATTATACTCGCGCTGCACGCATACCTGGCCGTCTTCCACTGTCATGTCCGCTTCTGGTGCCAGATGACGACTGCCGCTGACTGTTTCGCAACGGTCGTATCTGGCGTTCAGTTGTCTCACCTGCTTTAGAAACAGCAGCACTCATAGTCACAGTTTGGGCAGATGATGTCATCACTGCTTAAGTAATGTATATATTATATCCAGGGTTAGACACTAACCCATGTCCGACCGACCTAGTCGGGTAAATGCTTGGTCCGGTCGCATACAACCAGAGTGCTAGTAGCCCGACTGGTCATGTTAGAATTGGTCATATATATTGCACTGAAAAGGTCACCTCTGGCTCGCGGCCGCACTGTTTGTCGCAGAGCGTGTACATTGTCTAGCAGAGCGTGAGGCCGGATACCAGTCTACCCTTCGGCAAAAACAATAACGTGGCTTGCTGGAAGCCGCAGTAGACGATCGATAAACCGTGTGCTCGTGTATGCCCGTGGTAGAATACGAATGCTGCACGTGAACTTGGCCCACGCGCGATTTAAAGCACACTCTTATCTAAATAAAGTTTTCCATAACAATGGTCTGGGTCTGGGCTAGTGAAAGTTAGGTCAGGGCTAGTGGTTTTCCTCAGTTACTAGCCCGATGGTCTAGTGGAATAAAAAGTGAATGTTGAACCCTGGTTTAACCCTCCTCTTGAAGGTCAAAAGGTTATCCGACACTTACTTTTCGCATGTCAGCAGAAAGTACATTTCATGGTCCTTTCAATAAAGCCATAAAAATGCTAGGTCACCGCTGAAACAAAAAAGTTTTTCAATCGCTCCGTCAGACCATGTCCTCGGAAAATGTCTAAAATCTGCCCGGTGCCCCATTGACCTTTGACCTGTGACCTCCAATTTCGGCACAGTGATGGCTTTTCCTACCACGATGCTATACACCGACTATCACGAGCATAGGTCGAGCCGTTTAGATTTGTGCCGCAATTCTGCATTTCCTCCCTATACCTTAAGTTAAGGAGGGAATGTTCCCCCTTTTTTACACCTCTTGACCTTTGACCTTTGACCCCCAGCTTCGACATCCCAACTCGTTTTTGGATTACCCCCCCACGTCCCGAATATCGTGACCGTACGCCGAGCGGTTAAGATTTGTGCCCAACTGTTGACGGACGGACGGCCGGACGATCATGAGATTCTACAAGCTGCACCTGACTACGTCAGATGAGCTAAAAATTAACGGACTAGGAGCCTAGGACACACTGTGCGATTTTCTACGCTGGCCACTTGCGATCGATAAATACGGTGCCAGGTGTGCGCGGGTCGGGCGGGCGCGCGTCTCACGGCAGCGTATTTCACTCGCGATCCCATACGCCCGGCTGATCTCTCGCATTCAACGCGTTCAACCGGTTTTTCATCTCTTGCATACAAATACACCAGCGCGCCCAACAATGAACAATCGCGTTCGAACGCGATTGTTTTTAGCAGCCAATCAAGTGTAGCAGTGAAAGCTAGGAAACCCGTTGGACACCGGACAGTGTGTGCAGCTGTACGCGCAACTCGTACAGCGTTCTAAATCTATTAGCTAGCGTATTCAAAACTATTCATGCGTTCATCGCAAGGCTTACGGCTTTTCTAAGCTTTTGGTGAACTTTAGAAAGCAGAAGAAAGCAGAATTTGATATTTGTAAAGCAGAAGAAAGCAGAATTTGACATTTATAAAGCAGAAAACTTGAGGACCTAAGCTTCCCCTCCCACAGGCTTCACGGCGCCTCGCATCCACAATATTCACTATCAGTCTTGCCTTTTGAGGTTGCTTCGTGAAAGTTCGGTTCTTTCCGTGATAAGTCGACTTTATGAATGAACGGCACTCGGTAGCCGTCGGTAGCCTTCGGGGGAACCGCTTCAGACTGGTTTCGTAAACAAACACAGCGGAACTCCTTCAGTCCTTTGTTTCGTCGTTGAATGTATGGGAGTGTGGGCTCAAGGATAGAGAGCATGTCCAGTAATAAACATCATCCTATCCAATCACCATCCTGGACATCATCTCTATCCTTGAACCGGAGTGTATGGAATGTTTCTTTCATCAACATCGCTGATAAGCGTCTTATAAATACAATTTATAGTTATAATAGTAGCTTTTTGTAGTCTGTAATCCGCGACTATAGTCTATAGTAAAGTATAGTCTTTAGTCCGTAGTCTGTAGTCAGAACCTTACAACATTGTTTTGTTGATCTGTTTACTTGCCCTTGGACTTTTGGGACTAATCCAAGTTTGGGACCCAGCAAATGTATTTCCGATTATGTACTAAACTAAGATTGACCCTCAGAATCTGATAAGTTCGAAACAGTCTTATTTTAGCACACTACAGTATACTATATACTGTAGTAGTAGTACTCTACTGTGTACACAATGGGTCATGTCTACTAGACTAGCTCCACTGTATACTAATACTAAAAGTAATACTATTACTAGGCCTACTGTGTAGCCGCACATTCTAGAAAGCCGTAAAATCGTCGTACATACATTTTGTATGATACAAATGTCGAGTGACTACGTGCCCCGAATGAAAGATGTGGGCCCAAGCTTAGTGTAGCACCCTATATTAGCTTGGCACATGCCTGTATGCGAAAACATATTGACGACGTTAAGCCCGGCGCACAAAATCAGCTCAGACAAAATTCAGCTTAGACAAAATCAGCTTAAACAAAATTTTTCTACAGGCCTCCGTCTCCTAACATCTTTCCTAGCGCCAGTAATAGTGGATGCGGCCATGTTTTATCAATTAATTACCAGCAATGCTACGCAGTTGCTATGGTGTAGTAAGAACACCAAATTTGGTGCTGTGACGTCAGTGATCAGCGCTCCAAGCGGTGACGGAAAATGATAGCCGAAAGGCTTAGGGGCGAAACTGATAGTGAATATTGTGGATGCGAGGCGCCGTGAGGCCTGTGGGAGGGGAAGTTTACGAGCCAATATCTCAGCCTAGGAGTATCGTATTGACAAGCGGTTGGTCGTTTTAGAGAGCAAAGAATTCTGTTTAATGCAATACCATAAAATTATTCTAGACTCGCAGGCAAAGTAGAATAATGTCGTGAAATAGCACTATTTTCCCGTTTTTCCGTTGTACACTCTTGGTTTTATGCATGATGAAATGTAATTTTCCCATGTTTCCCACAAGACAATGTACACCATTGACCAACAAAGACAAGATAAATGAATTACACGTTTTATGTAAATTTTTAACATTTTTCTTGCCTTTAATAATACATTTTCATCTTCAAAAGAAGAATCCAAGAATTTTGCCACCCACGTGTTTTCGTCTAGCCTCTTCGTGATCCATGATGCCAGCAGAGGTCGTGAGCACAACAAACCTAAAATAATAAGGGTCAAATTTAGCTTAACCGATGTTACATAGCTGACCGCATCATTAATGGCACCTAACGTTTGCCCCACTTCTATTGTGACCATAGATTTCCTGCTAGCCTTTTATTAATCCAAGGAATTTTAATGGGTAATGTACTGCTTGGCAGTTACTTCAACTTGTCGGTGAGTTAAACCAAGTGAGTCACACTTTTATTAGAAGTGCTAACACTTGATCTCATTATGCCAGCCATGTATCTTAACATCGTGACAGTGCTTAGACTTAGAGGCTAAAAGCCCATCTCAACACACGCGGCGCGGCACGGAACACCACGGAAACGGCGTCGTCCACCCCTACCGGCAAAGTTCAAATCTATGATATCTTATGGTGCAGTCTCCACTGACACGGCACGGCGCCAGCCGGGTTTCACGGCGACGGCGAAAGTCAAATGAGTTTGACTTTTGCCGGCTGCCGTGTACGGAGAAAGACAGTTGAACCAATCAACGCGATTGTTTTTTATCACGTGTTCTGCTCACGCCACCATCAGCCAATGGACAACAAGCACATGCATAATTTCTGATCACTGAACCAGAGTGAACACAATGCGCTTAGATACAATGCGCGAAATCACAATGTATTTTTTTTCAGCACAACGGCGCTGCGTTTTGCTGTGTCATGTCGTGCCGCGTGTGTGGAGGCCGTAATCACAAAGAGAGCACAGCTGTTTCGTAACTATCTGGACAAGCTGCATTATTCAGTGGGTTACGTGAAGTACAGAATCAGCCTAGTTGTAACGAGTGGAGCGTTAAGATCTTTTTCCAACATGCTCCACATGTGCCATACAGTTTCAGCTGTCACCACAGACATAAAAAAACTTGGCGCCTGCCTACACAACGGTCTGCACAGCAGCTCCCTGCACTTCACGTGCACACACTAACAGCAATCACGACACTGGCTATCAGCAACACCTGCTGTTTACGTTTGGACATTGCTGGACAATTTTAATCGTGGTTTTGGAGAAGAAGACATAGTAGTTGAATGACGACCCACTCTCGCACTAACTGGTATATCAGAATTCACAGGGAATTATCTGGGACACCTGCACATATCAAACAAAGCATTCTGGCAAAGCTATGAAATACAGTTTTGGAGAGTATGACCAGTGATAACAATTTCATAACTGAAAAAGGGTCACCACAGGGTTTCTTCTGAGGGAAAATTAGACAACAGAGGTAATGGCCAATTTCGGGGAAAAAATGCGCATGATGGATTCAAAGGCCCGTAGGCACGCATGCAGACGCGGGGGGAGAGAGGGAGGACTCCTCCTCTCGGGGTCTCCCCCAGCAAAATGTTTAAAATTTGAATGTTTTAGACTGCATTTGAGGCACTTGAGATACATTTTCACAATGGCGGTGCGCAGCTGTGCCTCTTATGTATAAGAATCCCTGCACTAGAATCGAGCATTAAAGGAATAATAGGTCCATTGATTATGCAATGTTGACAAATGCTAGAGTAACTGGCACCTTGTGTAGTTAATAAGTACATTACCTTATAGCCAAACGCTTATTAGTTTGTCCAATATCACTGCTGGTTACTAATAAATGTCTAATTGAAATCCGCAGTCCAAGAAATCAGTTGACTGAGTTGTTTACAGTTTCCATGCAGTTTCAAACCGCTGGGTGTGATACAGATTTATAGTGCACCGGACATTTTCGCACACATGCTCGGCCGTACGCAATATGCTATCATCAGTGATTTCGTAAACACGGACGCTCGTGATAAGGAACTTTTTGTCAGGGCTGTCCATGTGCATCCGTGATTAGTACGTGTGTGGCCGTGGTTACACCGCTGACACCTCCATTTCATCTGGCGTCCAAAACATACGGGCCGCACAAATGTTTACGTCATCGGCGACTTATCGCTCGACTCCTGGATGACATTTACGGCACGTAAATGAATATCAACAACCTATATCAAGTCTTGCTTGTAATGTAACCATCAGTGATATTGGACATTCTAATACGCGTTAGGCTATAAGGTTACGTACTTATTAAATACACAAGGCGCCAGTTACTCTAGCATTCATCAACATTGCATAATCAATGGACCTATTATTCCTTTAACCTTTACAAGAATGTAAACTTACCCGAACTGTCGAGAGGGTAACAGGTTACTTGTCCATTTCTCAATGTCTCTGATGGCTACATCAAACCTAGGACTGATTACGCCGCACTGAAACCAAATTATCAGTTTAATTAAGCAATTACTAAACAAGTCGTTATTCCCTTACGAGCACTTTAAATTGGCATTATACATAACACAAATATTATATGGTATCACACTGATCTACCAGAATAGACTCTACTGCTACCGTCAAGGATTATTACACAAGTTTATTAACTCCACATTTATTTATGATGTTATAATTAACATAACATGGGGGATTGAAACACAAATTGACAGTGTCGAGTTACAGGAACCTACGAGGAAGCAACAGATGGAGAAATATACAAAGCTCAATTGATATAACTTCACAGCTCACACAAACGGATGCACTATGTTTCTGACATCATATACAAATCCATTTTCAAAATCTTAAGAGTGTCCATAGAGCTTTTACATTTAATTGACAATGTTTGAACAATTCACATGCCATTTCCATTGTTTTCTCTCAGACAAATGCCTCGATACCTTCACATCAAGGATGGCATCACATGGTTAACTACTTCAACCAATTTACCAGGCATAAAACATGCCATAGTAACAGTTTCCATAGCAACCGTGTAGTGCATCAGGCTCGTCATCACATCATCATTGAGCAGACAATGAAATTTTATAGATCACAACCAAAACATGAACAATTACCGAGCTTTAAGATTATAGTATATTTAGTGGCATATAAACACACTAGACTCTAGAGACAGGGCAGAGATAGTTTAAGATACGGTCAGATGTACGATGCAAGGGTAACCAAGCAGACAATCGCTACTCACTTTGTTCAGACGTCCAGTTAGATTCACAACAATCTTTCCTGATCTGTGGTCATCAATAATTTCAAACTCCCCGATGTAACCTGCACATGTGTAAAAGTAGAAGTTGACAAATTAACAGACACTTATGCAATATTGCTGTAATAAAATGCAATTCATACCTGAGCGACACTTTTATACAACTTACAAGGTAAAAAGTGTGTCTGTGTGACGTATGTAGAAATTCACGAAATTCGGCATTTGTTTTCAGGCTACATGGTTTTTCGTACGGAAGGGCCACACCCACCGCTAGTGATGCAGCCGACTAAGAACAGGGACTACATGATACATGCGTAATTGCTTGAGGTGCTATGTTTAAGTGCAAATATGGGCTAAGGGATAGAGAAGATATCCAGTCCTATCTTATCAACTAACATCATCTTAAGCCTAGGACACACTAGCGATTCTGTACGCTGCCCGGCAGCGTATATATTCGCTCACGATTTTAGAACGCCGTACGAGTTGCGCGTACAGCTGGACACACTGTACGGTGTCAAACCACTCCAATGGCTTTCCTAGCTTTCGTTGCTACACTTGATTGGCTGCTAAAAACAATCGCGTTCGAACACGATGATTCATTGTTGGGCATGCTGGTGCAAGCGCATGCAAGCGCATGTGCTGTACGCAAGCGATGGAAAACCGCGCGTAAATATTCAACATGTTGAATACGAGCGATGCGCCGGGCGTATGCGATCGCGAGCGAAATACGCAGCCGTGAGAGCGGACACACCGCGCGGACCCGGCACCGTATTTATCGATCGCAAGCGGCCAGCGTAGAAAATCGCGCAGTGTGTCCTAGGCTCTATCCAATCACCGTACTGGACATCATCTCTATCCTTGAACCCAAATGGGATTACCCTCTGATGTCTGTTTATGGTAGTGTGTGAAGTTCACACTGACAGAAGTTAGTTATTCAATATTGGTACCTACGTTTAGTTGCAGCGCCTTGTTAATTACAAGATTGGGTCGCCACATTCGCTTGTGACATTATCGCTACGTAGTGAGAACCGACTCCGAGAAGGTAACTTGTGGCTACAGTAAGATACAATAACACGATGGAACTTACCATGTTTCATCATCACAGTTAAAAACTTGACGATAACTTTGGAGCAAGGTCTGATCAGCACTTGCCTTTTCCCTCGCTTTTCTGCATTGGTGATACTTCGAAGGGCATCGGCCAATACATTCATACGCACCATTGTGGCTGAAACAGCAGAAAAATAGAGACGCGAGTTAGACCAGCGTCCATAAAATTCATTTCCCATGTAAACATAGGGGAGAATGAGAAGCTTATAGGCGAAGATCGTTGCGGGTAGCTTTTATTTAATCCCAGAAAATAATTAACAAACATCGTATTGACAAGAGTGCAGACTAACCGATGCTAAACACTTAGCTGCAAACAAGATTTATGTGGATTTCAAAACACATATACATAAACATACCAGCTACGAAAATGGCAGCAGTAAGAGGAGTCAACACAAGACCATCGAATCCGTCGTGGGGATCGTGGTCACGTGATATTCTCATCTAGCCAATCGAAATTTAGTTTACGAAAAAGCCTAATCAGATCACAATCTACATATGACGCATGAATCTTATATACATATTCATCAGAAGTAGATAATATGGATTATCTTCCCTATTATCTACTTCTAATATTCATGTACGTGCTATATTCTTACATTAATCCTGCATTTATAATTCATAACAAACATGTTGGTTGTCCAGTACCAACATGTAACGTGCTGTTCGACTCGTATAGGCGGATTTAGAGAAGGCGGGAGGTGTCGAAAAAGAAGGTATATGGGTATGGTGGCAAAGGTGACGGGAGGCGGTAGAGGAAACGAAAGGAGGTGGACGAGCGAGGCGGTAGAGAAGAAAAGTGGAGGAGGGGAGAAGGTTATGGAGGGAGGACATCACTTTTTATCCGATTAAAACAACGTCCATATAATGATCAGAAAAATAATTCGCAGGAAAAATTGTTCACAAGATAGTTGACGGTTTGTTAAAACAAAGAGGAAACAGGAGTGAGCAGAAGAGAAGAAAATCAGGAGGTGAAGGACGATGTGATGATAAGACAGCGAGAAAAAATATGGTGAATTGCTGTAAATGATAACAAGAGAGAAAGATGGGGGACGCAAGGGAGAGGGAGCGAAGTGCAGGGGGGGGGGGAAGGTGGGGGAAGAAAATAGGAAGAAGAGAAGAGGCGAAATAGCAAAGGAGATTGGAAGAGAGAAGGGAGGAAGAGATGCGGGGAGAAGGGGCAGAAGAAGGGAGGAGGTGCAGTAGTGGAGGAGAAGGGAGGAGGTGCAGTAGTGGAGGAGAAGGGAGGAGGTGCAGTAGTGGAGGAGAAGGGAGGAGGTGCAGTAGTGGAGGAGAAGAATTAGGTGCAGTTAGTGAGCAGGAAGAATGGAGGAGCGGCAGTAGTAGCAGGAGACAGGCGAGGAGGTGCAGTAGTGGAGTCGGAGAAGGAATTGGTGCGAATAGTAGGAAGAGAAGGGAAGATGCTGCAGTAGTGGAGGAGGAAGAAGCGAGGACGGTGCAGTAGCTGTAGGGAGAAGGGAGGAGGTGCCAGTTAGTGGCAGGAGAAGGGTGGAGGTGCAGTAGTGGAGGAGAAGGGAGGAGGTGCAGTAGTGGAGGAGAAGGGAGGAGGTGCAGTAGTGGAGGAGAAAGAGAGCGGAGGTGCAGTACGTAGTGGAGGAGAAGGGAGGAGGTGCAGTAGTGGAAGAGAAGGACGGAGCGAGTGATAGGTAAGCAGCGAGAAGGCGATGGAATGGTGCTGTAGTGGAGGAGAAGGAATTAGGGTGCAAGTGAAGGAGCGAGAAGGCGAGGAGGTGCCGCTTAGTGTTAGAGGAGAAGGGAGGAGGGTGCAGTAGTGGAGGCAGAAGAATTGGGTTGCAGTAGTGGAAGAGAAGAGGAGGATGACTTGGCAGTAGGCTGGAAGGAGAAGGGAGAGGTGCAGTAGTGTAGGAGAAGGCGAGGAGTGCAGTAGGTGAGGAGTCAAGGGTGGAGCTGCCAGTAGTGCTGAGGTCAGCCTCCAAAGGGAGGAGGTGCAGTAGTGGAGGAGAAGGAGGAGGTGCAGTAGTGGAGGAGAAGGGAGGAGAATGCAGTAGTGGAGGAGAAGGAGGAGCGTGGCATTAGATGGAGGAGAAGGGAGGAGGTGAGTAGTGGAGAGGAAGGGAGGAGGTGCAGTAGTGGAGAGCGCCGAAGGGCAGGGCGAGGTGCAGTAGTGGAGGAATGATACTGCTCGCCTGAAACGGTGCTCGCGCATGCGCAATATCTCCTGGTTAGGGGATATCTCAGCATAGATTTATGAAGTAAATTGTTATCACTAGACCTAGCTGCTGTTTATTGATTAGGGAGAGCGCCCTGCCTGTGGGAAACAAAACTACTAATTCATCCTCTCCTGTCCTTCCCGTGCCTCCCCCTTTGTCCCTCGCTCAGCCTCGTTCTTTTTTACCGCCCTCCGCTTTCTTCCCTGCTGCCTTTCCTCAGTCTCCCAACTCTCTTTCTTTCTTAGCAAGCTATATTAGGCATGTGTTCTTAAGTCCATACTGCACGCCTGAAACGGTGCTCGCGCATGCGCAATATCTCCCGAGAAGAATAATATTTTTCAAAGATTATGAATTTAGAATAGGGAGGAGGTATTCTAGCATAGATTTATATAATAATATTTCACAACTATACCTCTCTTGAGAAATAGGAAGAAGACCTCGCATGTAAGGTGCCCGCTGTATATACCATTCAGAACACAATTTGAGTACGTTAGTGTGTTAGCGGATGCGTAATATCTCACCAGAGGATTTATATTTTGTGATGGATATGCACTTAAAATGGTTAGGGGATATCTCAGCATAGATTTATGAAATAAATTGTTATCAGTAGACCTGTGTTTATGATTGGGAGAGCGCCCTAGCCTGTGGGAAGCAAAATTAGCTACTAATTCATCCCCTCCTGTCCTTCCCTTGCCTCCCTCTCTGTCCCTCGTTCAGCCACATTTTTTTAACCGCCCTCAGCTTTCTTCCCTGCCACCTTTCCTCAGTCTTCCAATCCTCCTTCTCTAATAGCAAGCTATATTCTGGAGGGTTCTGCAGTCCATGCTGCACGCCTGAAACGGTGCTCGCGCATGCGCAATATCTCCCGAGAAGAATAATATTTTGCAAAAATTATGCATTTAGAATAGGGAGGAGGTATTTTAGCATAGATTTATATGGCTACGTTATTGTGGTAGCGCATACGCAATTTCTCACCAGAGGAGTTATATTTTGTGAGGGATATGCATTTAAAATGGTTAGGGGATATCTCAGCATAGATTTATGAAATAAATTGTCATTAGTAGACCTGTGTTTATAATTGGGAGAGCGCCCTAGCCTGTGGGAAGCAAAACTACTAATTCATCCCGTCCTGTCCTTCCCTTGCCTCCCCCGCTGTCCCTCGCTCAGCCTCATTCTTTTATACCGCCATCAGCTTTCTTCCCTGCCGCCTTTCCTCAGTCTCCCACCCCTCTTTCTCTCATAGCAAGCTATATTATGCAGTGTTCTTCAGTACATACTGACTAGGAGGCAAAGGAAGCAGGGGAGTGGACGAGAGTGGAGGAGGAAGGGCGTGGCAGAGGAGGGGAAAAGGGTTTAGGAGGGGAGAACGAAAAGAAATTAGTCGGAAAAGATGGAGATCGTGAAGGAAGAAAAGTGACGTGCAGTGGGTAGAGGAGAAGGGGAGGAGGGGAGAGGGGCCGTAGTAAAGGAGGGGGGAAGGCGAAAGAGGAAGAGGAGGTAGGAGGCAACTAGAAGGAGCAGTTAGCGAACAAATGATGCGATACGGGTGGGAGAATGTAGCGGAAGAAAGGAGGGGGCCGGAGAAGAGGAGGGAAGGAGGAGGAAGAAGAGGAGAAGGAGGAAGGCAGAAGTAGGTAAATTAGAAGTGTAGACGATGAAGGAGGGAGGTGGGCTGGTGTAATTCTCCCTAAAATTTAGGAATCAATTAGGGCAACCGAATTTGATTGATAATTTCTTCCATTAAAAAAGAACAAAGTAGGGCAATATTTCCTTATTAGATGAAAGAAAAAAGAAATGAGGAAGAGGAGGGGGAATGAGGTGGAGGAGGGTGGAGATACAGGAGGAGGAGAAAAGATGTATAGGTAGTGGGATGAGGATCTCTATTGCTCCTGCTCTATTTCCTCATCATGACCTGCTCATCCTTCCCTCACCCGTATTCCCCCTCCTCTGATCATCGATGAAGCCCCTTTCTCTCACCCTCCCCTGGGTATCAGCTCCTCCCCTGTGTATTAGCTCCTCCCCTGCATTGTATCAGCTCCTCCGCTGTGTATCAGCTCCTCCCCTGGGTATCAGCTCCTCCCCTGTGTATTAGCTCCTCCCCTGCATTGTATCAGCTCCTCCCCTGTGTATCAGCTCCTCCCCTGGGTATCAGCTCCTCCCCTGGGTATCAGCTCCTCCCCTGTGTATCAGCTCCTCCCCTGTGTATCAGCTCCTCCCCTGGGTATCAGCTCCTCCCCTGTGTATTAGCTCCTCCCCTGTGTATCAGCTGCTCCCCTGGGTATCAGCTCCTCCCCTGTGTATCAGCTGCTCCCCTGGGTATCAGCTCCTCCCGTG